CCACCATCGCTGACTGGCTTGGCCTTGGCCAGAAGTGGGTCCGTCTTAGAGCTGGCTGGCATTGGCTCTATCAGACATGGTGTAAGCTACAAGCAACTTCTCACAGAAGCCACCCCTATACCCCCCCCACTACCGAAACCTAGCTACACAAACCCATAATATTATGTGAGGACAAGTTCATGGAGTAGGTTGTGAGGGAAGGTTGAAAGTCCAGAAAATAAGGGGGAACATGATGGAGACAGAAATGAGGCCAGGGTCAGGTATTCCATAACTGCAGAACAAATCCCAGAAAGGCACTGGGAGAAGGGTGTAGTTCAAGTGATAGCTGGCTGTCTTCTGGCCAAGTGCCAGGTGAAAGGGACCGCCCTCCGCCCCAAACCCACCCATGTAAATCTCTCAGGTTCAGACACATTTGTGTCTCCATTTCCCGCTCTGGGGTGACAGGATGGGGAGCACCAGAAAAATCTCCTCTCCCCCATCATTCTGACTGTGTGGGCAGACAGAGCAAATAGGGTGTAAGTCCCCGGGGGCCTAGGGGTGAGGGATGGACAGGTGGATGGATGGAATAGGGGCAAGCTCGCTCCAGTGAACAGGGACGATGAACAGAGAACAGAATAACAGAATGTTAGGGGTTGGAAGGGACCTTTGTGCGTCTTCAGCACCACCCCCCCTGCCGAAGCAGGGTCACCTACAGCAGGCTGCACAGGAACTTGTCCAGGCGGGTCTTGAATATCTCTAGAGAAGGAGAATCCACAGCCTCCCTGGGCAACCTGTTCCAGTGCCCTGTCACCCTCAGAGGGAAGAAGTTCTTCCTCGTATTCAGACGGAACTTCCTGTGCCTCAGTTTGTGCCCATTACCCCTTGTCCTGTCGCTGGGCACCACTGTAAAGAGCTTGGCCCCATCCTCCTGACACCCACCCTTCAGATATTTAAAAGCATTTATAAGGTCCCCAAAGGACAGAAGAACAAGTGAAGCACAAACAAGCAGACACTCACCAGAAGCAAGGCCAGAGCCAGCAGGGACAGGCTGACAATCAGATGGACAGAGGGAGAGATAGAAGAGGGATGGGGAGAGAGAGTAAGTGGCAGACGGATGAGATGTGGGAACAGAATGCGGGAGGGATGGAGAGACAGAACAAGAGATGTTTGGGCAGGCAGGAAGACGTAGGGCTACTTTAGGAGAGGGATGGCTGCGATGGCGAGTGAAGCGGAGGGGCAGGTGGACAGAGGAATGGGCGGGAAGATGGGGAGGCAGGGCTGTGCGGGTGGAGACCCATCGATGCGAACCTCCTCTGGAGCGTCGGGCACCCGGTTGCCCGGGGCCTGTGGGGGCCGCGGGGGGGCGGGACGCCGGGGG